TTTTTTTTTCTTTCTTATGTAGCAGGTCTCTTGCCTTAATAAATATTACCAGAGCTAAGAAGGTTTTTGCTTCTTAGATTGGTATACCAACAATGTATTTTAACTTATTGTTCTATGTTGTATTGCTGGTAAGCAAGAATCAGAGTTAGGATTAAAACTTACATTTTGACTCCAATATAGAAAGTCATAATATGATTAAATTTGTATTATGAATTTAGCTGGAATTTGAAAACAAACTCCAAATTCTATATCAACTGACTTTTGAAGATCTCTCACTAGCTTTAGAGATATCTTCAGTGAATTTACTTCATAATATCCAAACTGGAAAAACTTTAAAAGAATGGATTGTTAGTATAGTTTAAATAATACTGTCAAATTACCAGACAATACTATAGTTATTGATATTATGTTTCTATTGTCTCTCATGGAAGTTGATATTGTTTGCATATGCTTTATCCCAGGAGTTTTATAGCAAGTGGTAAGAATTGTTTAAAATATCTCTCTCCTCTCTGACTGCTGCAACATATAAAAGAAATCTTTTAATTTACAACTCCACACAAGATTATAAATAAGAATGCATGAAGTGCTGAACCTCACAGAAAAAGAGCCCTGTGTTAGAAAGCAAGACAGTGACTAGTTAGTAAAGCTGTAAATGAAAGGTTGATGTTTTTTGGATCCCCCCTCTTCTCCCCCCATAGGCCCTAGCTCGCATCATGCCCACAATCTTTTGATAGACTGCTAACTTCATAGCATGATGGTTTCTGTTGTTTGAATGCTTTATCTAACTTGTGCATTCCTTTACTGCATGCCTTAGTTGAGTGACTTTTGGTCATGTCCTGGATATTTTTCTTTATGCTCTTAATGCTCTTGGGTCTTTCACAGTACGCAGGCTTTGACCATTTAACACAAGCAGTGACAGTGCCTGGTGCCTGGTTGTATTGCACCACCTGTTTTGTCCTACATGATTCTCTACAGCCTTTTATTAGTAACTGACAGCCAACCACTTCGTACTATAAAACCTATATTCCTCTCATACAGTCAAGTTACAAAAATTCTGAAATTTGAAATTCTTTTGTGAAAATTGTTTAATAGTCCAGGTTCTACTTTGCAGAAATTCCACAGATTCATTCTGTAGCTCCTCTCTACAGTGCTGTAGCACTCCAAGGCTCTTTCAAGTAAGAGTCCATCATCTTCCTCCTTTCTAGGAGGGGTCTTGAAGGAGTTTGGGGTTTTTATTTAGTTCTTACCCCAAACTCTGTCTTTCTGCTGCTGGCTCTCTTTCTCTCTTGAACAACTCCGTGTCTTCCTTGTTCACTTGCATGCTGTTGCTTTCTTATCTTTTGGTTCTTAGCCACAGTCTCTGGACGCTGCTTCTGCCGCTGCTCTGTCTCTGCTCACTCACGGTGGAGGGAAGAAAAACTTCCAGCCTCTCAGTCACAGAGCTCAATTCAGTTTAACACTGTTTCTGAGTTTCTATGACCCCAGCCGGGGGCTGGGGGGTCGTGGTCCCCCAGAGGGGCTCTTGCCCCTTCTTCTTCTTCGTGGCCTCAGAACGTGGCTACCCTCTTCAAACAACAACTTACAACTCCCTTCTCTTCCGTTCTGGTTGTGATATGTTTATATTTTGCAGAAGCGTTCATTGGGTAAAACTTCAAAACTTCAAGGGTCACCACCACCTAGGGTTTTACCATTTTATAACTGCA